TCTTGCTGGGTAGGCCAAGAATGCAAGGCCTAGAGTGCTCTTTGTTCAGGCCATTTCTCTGGGCTGTGTTTGTAGTGAACAATCTTGAGAAATAAGGTAACCCTTGCCTGGCCAGTGTGGGTCAGTGGTTGAGTGTCGACCTATGAACCAGGAGATCATGGTTTGATTCCCAATCAGGCACATGCCTGGGTTGCGTTTCCATCCCCAGTGTAGGGTGTACAGGAGGCAACTGATCAGTGATTCTCTCTCATCATTGATGGTTCTCTCTCTCTTTCCCTCTCCCTTCCTCTCTGAAATCAATAAAAATATATTAGGGAAAAAAAAAAAAAAGAAGAAGATAATCCTCCCCAACTCCAGGAGCTCACCACTCATTATAAAAGCAGTAGATTCCCTAAACTCAGTGTTTTTCAAATGTGCCACAAACCCACTGAATGCCCAGCACCCATCTACAGCTGTATTTGTATCATCTGTGAGACTTGAGGGGAATGGGAAATTGATAGCAACCTTGTGCTCATGCTGCTTGCTATGTTATGAGTAATTAAGTTCTCTGTCTCTGACATGGTATCTCCTGAATTCTGCCAGCATCCATGAAATAGTCACAGGCTAATTTGTTAGCTTGCAAATACATTAAAATCCCAGATCCTTCACAGATCCTGACTTCATGGGGACTGATGTAAGAGTAAACGCCCTATAGTTTCCAAAGGTCTTGGACAAGGACTCTGAGTATGTGACATTCATGGCTGGTTTGTATGCCTAACGTCTGGTCTTCCCTAGGTCACTCTGCTCTGTTACAGTAATTCAGCTGCCCATTCTTTCAATTGTTCCATTCCCCCAAAAGACATTATCCTGCATAAGACACTCTTGTCACTCTTTAATAACAATAGCAACAGCAGCCACTAATATTTATAGAGTGAGAGACATTGTTTTAAAGATTTGAGGTCTTGTTCTACACACTTTTTATACACTACCATCTTTACTCTTCAGAATAACCCTATGCAGGGGATACTATCACCTCCAGCTTACAGATGAGGAGACAGAGGCACAGGCCTAAAGTTAGTCAGGGTAGAGATAGGGTTCAAAAACAGACAGCCTGGCTTTAGTCCTCACTTTTAACCACTCTGTATACTGCCTTAGAGTAGGACTTTCTATTCTCGGAGCCATAATGAACCACAGAGGCCTAGAGATCTTTATTTGATATTTTAGGAAGATGATTCCAGTCAAATTTTTAACACTTGATTTTGACATACAACATTTTAAAATACTTTTTGACAACCTATATATAGGCAATTAGATAATCTGCTTTGATCTTTTCTATGCAGCCTATGTATAAATCCAGTGTTGTTTTCATACTCTGTATTAGTGTCCTATTGTTATATCACAAATTATCAAACTTAGTAGCTTAAAACAACACAGATTTATTTTCTTACAGTTCTGGAGGTCAGCAGTCCAAAATGGAACTGCACTGCCTCTGGAGGCTCCAGGGGAGAATCCATATCCTTGCCTTTTCCATTTTCTAGAAGTTGTCTGTGTTTCTTGGCTCATGGTCCTTTACTCCATCTCCAAAGCCAGCAGCAAGGCATTTTCAAATCTCTCCCCCTACTCCCGCCTGCCCCTCCTCTGGCTCTCCTGCCTCCCTCTTTCCCTTATAAGAACCTTGTGATTACATTGTGCCCATCCAGATCATCCAAGATAATACAGGATCTTCTCCATCTCAAGCTCTTAATCACATTGCAGAGCCCTTTGCCATGTAAAGAAAAACAGTCACAGGAGATCAGGATGCAAATATCTTTGAGGGGGTATCATTCTCCCTACTCTATATTGTAAGCAGTTGTCTCTTACTATGGTATATAAACTTTTTGTTTATTTTCGTTAATTCTCATTGGAGGATATTTTTTCATTGATTTTTAGAGAGAGTGAGAGAGACACATTGATGGGCTGCCTCCTGCCCCTAACCCGAGGCTGGGGATCCAGCCTGCAGCATGCCTGCAACTGAGATACATGCCCTTGACCACAATCAAACCCGGGACGCTTCAGTGTGTGGGCCGATGCTCTATCCTCTGAGCCAAACCAGCCAGAGCTATAGTATGGACATTTTAGCAGAAATATCTGGATTGGAGATTTTAAAAAGCCCATTCACTAGATATTTAACAATCCATTTCATCTTGGCTTTGAGGATGGAGCCCCAAGAGCACTTTACCTTTTGGGGTCAAAGAGAGATGGCGGCCGGCAGCCATGCACTGAAGCGAACAGGGAGGCTTGCTTGCTCCAGTGATGGCAGACTCCAGCGTTCCCCGTCTGACTTGCCGGCCTCTTAGCTGCAACTCTAAGCAACTATGTTGCAAATATAGAAGCTAAACAAAACCCCAGAAATTGGCTTTCAGTCAGCCGGGCTTCAGCCAGCCTGACCGCAACATTGTATCAAATACAGAAGG